GGCAGAGTTGTGTTGCTTCGTCGGGGCTTTGACGTGTTGCGTTTGCAGGGCGAGGAGTACGTCATCCTCCACAAGCAGGACCAGCTGTGGTGGCGAGCGCAGGACAAACACGGGTAGGTCGCTTCAAAGTTCACAGGAAGTTCAGTGTTTTTACGTTTTTCTGTTCTCTCAGACTCAGTTTGTGTGATTTAAAGTGTTCTGTCTCAGAGCAGAGCAGCATGTTCACACTTAAAGCAGTTAAAGTCTAAACATTATTGAGGGAAACTGGATTTGACTCAACGAAACCTCCTAAAGTGTCCGATTGTCTTCAGGAACAAAGGCTTCATCCCCAGCAACTACGTGACGGAGAAAAACCGGATCGAGGCCAACTCGTGAGTGTTTTTTCCTAATTTTTCACCTTAGCAGCATCAGAATTGTGAAATCTAGTCATGTCTAAGTGCTCTTTGTGTGGTTCTATGTGGAGGTGGTACTGCAAGAACATCACCAGGACAGAAGCTGAGCAGCTGCTGAGACAAGAGGTGAGAACAGAAACGGGTTCGTTCATCTCAGACCTTCAGGTTCCTTCTGCTCCACCGGCTCTGATTTGTCTGGAACTTTTTAATCATATATTAGTGATGTTTAAAAAAGGTACAGCTAAATAGAACAAGTGCTTCCACACATAATGTTCTTTAAACTCACCTTCAGCAGGGTTTTTGTCTCACAGTGAATTTTGAGGTTGTTTCGATGGATGATTTTTAGATTGGAAGACTTCAAAATGGATTTTAAAACTCGCCCTTAAACCCAGTTCCAGTAGATTTGTTTTTCTGTTAAAAATCGAGGCTGTTTGAACGACAACATCTCAGGAACTATTAAACCTAAAATGTTCACTTTTATTTCTCATCATGTCGTTGATTCAGACTCTACGGTACCGGATTACTGACGTAGATTAGAACCATTTTCAAACCACCTGCTCAATCAGTTGTAAAAGCTCAACTAAAACAACTTTCTTTCCATTTTTGTGACCAAGAATGTCATTTTTAAAGTATTCCACATGTTTAGTTTGGTGTTATTGTGACCTGTGCTTCAGAAAACATCACCAGCTGACTTCTGCTTCATCAACTTGTTTGTTGGAACTTTTCATTAAGACTCGCCCACAATCAGAGATTATCTGATCTACTTCTCTGATGTTTTAGATTCTGAATCAACGACATGACGAGAAATAACTGGAAAATTCTGTTTTTTATCTTTAATAGTTTCTGAGATGTTGTCGATCAAACGGCCTCGAATTTCGACGCACAAAAAATCAAATCTACTGAAAGCGGGTCGAGTGGGACGGTGTTTGAATTCACCTAAAAATTCACAAACATCTGTGTAACTATCCATAATTTATGCTTTAGAAATTAAGTCAGAGATGGTTCCAGTAGAAGTTGTTCTGAAGATGTAAAGATCTAAAAACTGTTGACTTTAAGTGAAGCTGAAATCATCAACGGACTGTTTTGATGTTTGTCTGCTGCAGCTTCTTAAATGCTTTTCTTCGTCGTATCTGACAGTAAACTGAGTATTTGTTTCATATTTATCGTTCACACTAACACTCTCCTTGTATTATTGTCGTAAAGCGTTTCGTCTGTTTCCGTGTGCCCTGATTCATTCCTTCCTCCTGCATCTAGCTCATGTTTCTTGTTGTTTTCCAGGACAGAGAGGGCGGCTTCGTGGTGCGAGAGTCCAGTCAGAAGGGCGTCTACACCGTCTCCGTCTACACCAAAACCTTGAGGTGATTCCCGCCGATAAAGACCGTAAACATTCCCGCCACATGACGTTTTTAAATCTTCTCCAGAGTGCTGATTGGCTGAAGTTGAACCCAGTTGGAGCCGAACTTTGGAGATAAAACCGACATAAAAGCTTCACATAACTAAACCTCATGTGAAGTAAATAATCCAGATCTATGTGTGTTTGGCGTCCAGCGCTACCGGAGACATCAGACATTACCAGATCAAGATCACCGACACCGGACAGTTCTTCTTGGCCGAGAAATACACCTTCGGCTCCATCCCCGACGTCATCCGCTACCACGAGCACAACGCAGCAGGTAAACAAACAAACAAACAAACAAATAAATCCTGTGCACAGAGGCCACAGCAGCGTCTGACGCTCCGTTTCTTGGTGTCGGTAGGTTTGGTGACGAGGCTTCGCTACGCCGTGGGACCGATGGGTCGGTGTGTCCCGGCCACCGCAGGATTCAGCTTCGGTAGGGGAACGATTCAGACGCTCTTTTAACCAAAACATACTTGTTGTCTTTCATAATTTACACCATTTATCAGAGCCAGAAACTGTAAAAACTGAAGGAATCAGTGGATCTCTTGTTTTCCGACTGTCCTTGAACGACTCGTCGTCCAACTCTGAGCCCAAAGTTTTGCTTTTATTGGAATCACTTTGTTCTACGAGTCTCTGTTTTAAAAAATCATCAAGAAAAAGTAAATCGCTCTGAACACGTTCTGTAAAAACATCTGCATCCTCTGTGAACGAAGAAACAGAAATGTGGCTGTAAAACACCGACATGAAGATAAGACACTGAGAAGTGCATCAGAACACAAAAATCTATCTCAACATGGTGACAAAAAATTAATATTTGTTTTATTCTTTCAGTGGAACTTTTTTTAAAGCTGTTTTTTTTTTTTTTTTTAATTCAAATTTTTCCTTTTTCAGTTCAGGTTTTGTCCTCAATCAACACCCGCATTTTATTTTCCATATTTTGTGTTTTAATGTGTTTTTTGTGGCACCTTTGCTGCCAGATTCTCACTAAAATCAGCCCAAAATAACCTTGTTTATAAATCGCTGTTATTTGAAAGACAGATTATATTTAATCAGGACTGAAAAGTGGTAAACGTGTTTAGTACTTTGTTATGACTGTAAACATTACACAGTTTTAGTTTATTAATCATATAAAATACAATAATTTTACAGATATTATTTGTCATAATTTTCTTTTTTTCCTCCTTTTTTTTAATTTAATTTATTTTATTTTTTTTTACAGTTTTTAAGCGTTACGGTATTCTGCGATTTGTTTTTAACATGATTTTTTTTCTCTTGCTGCCACATTTTCACCAGTTTTTTTGTCGACATTTTGTTGTAATAATTATTTCACATTAATTTGTCGTCATTTGACAGAAAAATTAAGTATTTAAAAGACTGTAAACTGGTAAGTGTTTAACTTCCACATTTTATTAAATTACAGATAATATCGAGTAAAAACACGCCAAAATTTGGATTTAATAAAAAGAAATGTAAATAATTTCCACAATAAAATTCTGTATTTTTACGAGTTGTGATTAATTCTCTTCACAACAAACAGACTTTAAAGTCACCCTGTTTTATTAGATTTAAATCAGCTGGAAGCATCACTGTTTTACAGATTTATTTATTTATTTTACAGTTTTTTTTAATATTACAGTTTTCCGATGTTTTCTGGCACCTTTGCTGCCACATTATCACAGATTTTACTTTAATTATTGTTATTATCGTGATGTTTTGAGCTGAAACTTGAAACTTGCATCTCTGAGAGTGTCGATAATTTGCTGAAACGTGGCTCAATGTGGGACCTTTAAGGAAAGTGACCAAATCGATGCCTCTGCTTCTTCCTTCCTGCAGAGAAGTGGGAGATCAACCCCAGCGAGCTGACCGTCATGAAGGAGCTGGGCAGCGGCCAGTTCGGCCTGGTGAGGCTCGGGAAGTGGAGGGCTCAGCACAAGGTGGCCATCAAGGCCATCAGGGAGGGAGCCATGTACGAGGAGGACTTCATCGAGGAGGCCAAAGTCATGATGTGAGGACGGGAGGACGCGACGAGGACCAGGGAGGAGAAGCAGCAGCTCGCTCTAACTCCTTGTCTTCTCTCTCAGGAAGCTCTGCCACCCCAAGCTGGTGCAGCTGTACGGCGTCTGCCTGCAGCAGCGCCCCCTGCTGATCGTGGCCGAGTTCATGGAGAACGGCTGCCTGCTCAACTTCCTGCGGCAGAAGGGCGGCGCTCTGAGGGAGGCGTGGCTGCTGTCCATGTGCCAGGACGTGTGCGAGGGGATGGAGTACCTGGAGGCCCACAGCTTCCTCCACCGAGACCTGGTGAGTCGCCACGGAAACGCCGAGAGGCTCTGGCAGATTTTTGGAAACGTGTCGCTGCAGCGCCTCAGATTCTGCTCAGCCTACGTTAATGTGGTCGTTGGAGCCGGAAGCAAAGTTCTGCACTGAATGAATTTTGCCAATTTCTTTTTTTTTTTCACTCCTGGAAGATTCTGTCTGACCCAGGAAACCACTTGAAGCTTTCATTATCTCCAGAAGTTTAGCGAAGGCAGAGACTACATTGATTTGAGCAGATTGAAATGATCGAATGTCTCCAGCAGACGTCCAAGTTTCAATTATTGGCCTTGAAAATGGAAAAAAGAGCCAATTTTTCAAACAAGGGCGGCACTAAAGCCCCAGAAAGCCCCTTTTAATGTATATATAGTAAAGTAATTACAAATACGTGGTCATGGTGCAGCTATTTGAACCTTTACTTTAACTATTTTATATATCTATGCAATATTTTATGAAGTGATTCTGTTTCATGTGTAAAATCATGATGCAGATTAGATGTATCAATGTATTAAAAATGGACTTTTAATTATTATACTATTTAACTATTTAACTTTTTTCCCCAAGAAATGGAGATGCTAAAACCAAACTGCACTGACTCAGCCAGGCTAGCCGTTAGCCTTAGCTAAAGCTAATATAGCTCCCTCTTCCTGTTTCGAAACTTAAACGTTTAGAGTCTAATTTATTTAACTACATACTGTACATAATTGCTTGATCAAAACAAAAAAGTAGCACCAGGTACAGTAGTCTGACTAGAGCGCTAACTAGCCTAGCTTAGCATTAGCCTCTTTGACTTGTGGAATTCGTGCGGTTTGATGTAGTTCAGCACCTTTATTTCAGATGTTCAAACTTACATAGATCAAGATAATTACAGTACTTGATGAATATGTTTTAATTGTGTTCGTTGTCACACAACTTAGTGGGAAAAATGCTTCAGTTTGATGTTTGTCTTCTGGATGTTTTTCTGCTCCGCAGGCTGCCAGGAACTGTCTGGTCAGTGAACACAACGTGGTGAAGGTCAGCGACTTTGGAATGACCAGGTATGGCTGACATATAGATGTATACTTTACTCTGCATTTCCGTGGTTGAGGAAATCAGCTATATGCTACATTTGAAGCCAGAATGAGCAGCTTGTTAGCTTAGCTTAGCATAAAAACTAGAAACAGACTGGGAAAAGTCAGAGAACTCCTCTCTGAAGCTATCTAATTGACATGATACATATAACTTGCTGAGATAAAAGTGTAAAAGAGTCAACTGGACTATTTTTGGCTCTAAATCAGCTCAAGAAATATTCAGACATATAACCTCCCGTCAAATGGTGAATAGAGGAAATAAATGTGTTAAGTAGTGAGCTATAAAAGTGCTGATAAGTGGATTTTGTTGTCAGACAACGCCAGGCTAGGTGTTTCCAGTCTGTATGCTAAGCTAAGCTAACTGCCTGCTGGCTAAACGCTTGTATTTAATGTCACATTGCTAAAGTAACATCAGTCACCTCATGCAAACTTTCTGCCAAATAGCTTTCCTAAAACGTTGAGCGAGGTTTTTACTCTGCGTCCCTGTTTCCAGATACGTTCTGGACAACCAGTACACCAGTTCCAACGGCGCCAAGTTCCCAGTGAAGTGGTCTCCTCCGGAAGTTCTCCACTACAGCAAATACAGCAGCAAGTCCGACGTCTGGTCCTTCGGTGAGGAACCGACTGGCTTCACCGCCGACACAAGACGAGATCATAGAGTTCTCAGACTGCACCAATAAACATCAAAAACACGAAGCCAAGTCGTGTCCTTGTGCTTGAAGTCATAAAAATCAATGATTTATTTTCAAGAAATGGAATAAGTCCCCACAGGTGTTGCCAATACTGGAAAAAAGTGACTCTGGATTTATTTCTTAAAGATAATGAGTCTTTCTCACCTGCTGGCAGGTTTTGGGGGTTCAGAGGGATAAATGTGCTTCAGTTATTCATCACAGTTGGTATTTTTTCCTGCTGAAATCAAAGTGAATCCGTGACCTGAAAGTCGTGTTAACGGTGCGTGTCTGTGTGCAGGCGTGGTGATGTGGGAGATCTACTCGGAGGGTCGGACTCCGTTTGAGAACCGATCCAACCTGGAGGTGGTCAACGACATCACCAGGGGCGTCCGGCTGTACCGGCCGCATCGAGCCTCCCAGTCGCTCTACGCCATCATGTACCGCTGCTGGCACGAGGTACCGAACCGCTCTCACAGTCAGTCGCACTCGATTAGAGAACAGTCAGGGCACTAGTAAACAAAGAAACAAACAAAAGGATAACTCACTCTCTTAAAAGCTCCACAAATACCACTTGTGATAATTCAGTCAAGCTTCTGATTTAAGGTTTTCCCTGCGTAGCTGAAGCAGGTCTAGTTTCAGTGAAGGTTGCTTTAAATGCTCCTGGTATGTGTTGGATCGTGACACCTTTTGTTAACCATCTTCTTCTCCTTCTTCTTGTTTGGTGTAGAAGCCTCTGGGCCGGCCGACGTTCTCTGAGCTCCTGGAGCAAATCAGAAAACTGGCAGAAAATCCAGATTGACACACACACACACACACACACACACACATATTAATATATTGCTGAGCTTCAGACTGTTCTATCCTGATACTATGAATGTACACAAGCTGTATTTTGTCACTGTAAATAAATATTTTTTAATAAAATCTATTTCTTTTGTTTAATTTAAGTGATGTTTTAAAGTGTAGCTTTTGTCTCCCCCTTCTGGCAGTAAACAGAACTGTAGTAGTTGTATTAATGCCAGATGAGTTTCAGTCCCACCTAAAAGCAGAAAGACATTAATATAACGTGTTTAACAGCTGTCAGAGTCACATTGTTTGCTGTATTTGAACTAGTCTGACTCACTAAATGTAGACTTTGAGTTTCGGTTTGGTCCTGCCTGCGTATTTTATGTTGGTTTCACCTCCAGTACTGTTTTCAAAATCCTCTAAACTACAGAAAACAACCTCCAACGTAGCGACACTTGTGGACTCGTGTAACTGAATTTTCTTTGCTAGAATCTTTAAAAGACGAACAAACGTGTCTTTGTCACAGAAAACAACGCTGCATTTGGGTTCCTGTACAGATTTATTGGAGGTCTGGAGCATCACTGGATCTTCTGGGTCAAAAATATACAAAACATACAAACAGCAACTTAAATCATGAGTTTTTGTGAAGTAGAAAGTTGTGTTGATAACTTTTTCTAAGTGGTGTGGCCTCTTCTTGTGAGTGATTGTGATTGATGCATTCAGTTTAGATCCAGACTATTTGATCCACTCATTAGACTCAGACACAAACACTACGGTGGGAAAGTCTGAGGAGCTGAATACACATCTGAAGAAGCAAACCACTGACTTAAACCCGTCAGGAACGTCTCTTGTGGCCATTCCAAAGATGTTTCAGATCCCAAAATCAACAAACAACCAAGTATAAAGTACACATTTCACACAGCTGATAACATATCAGTTGCACAAAAGGCTAACACTGATGACTTCTTTCTTCAACAATAAAAGTTACCCTCTGGATCTTCAGTTCCTCAGATGTTGGGAGTGCATGGAGACTCTTCTGTTCACTCTTACAGCTAACAGAGGAACATTTGGGGAGTTTTGCTCGTAGTTGAGGCATTTTAGAAAGTGAATAACCTGGTTGACTGTCAGCTAGCTGTTAGTTAAATGACAGATAATAACTCGTGAAATCGCAGAAAAAAAGTATTTGTTTACATGTAAATTCTAAAAACCAAAAACAGGCCAAAACTGTAAATAACGTCCACATCAAAAATCTGTATTTTTTACAGACAGTAATTCATTATGTCACTCTGTGTTTACGTACGTCTGTATTTAAATCACCTAAAAATGTTGTGAAGGTACATTAAAGTGACATATTTTATCTTTTTGTTTTTATTTTATTTATTTAATATGCACTTAAGGATGGCACTTTTAATTCCGTTGTTCTCATACAATGACAATAAAGACATTCTGATTCTGACATATGTAAATAGAATAATTCTTTATTGTCACAGTGATATATTGTTATAGATGTTAATTGTACCAGTGCTAGCCTCCGTAACAACCCGTAGACTATACCGCTCATATTGACATAACACAACAAAAACACAATAAAATTACTTAAATCCAGTGGTTTTTTTAGTTTCTGTTTATTTATTTATTTATTTTTGCTCAGCACTGGTTTTTTATTCTCTATCTTCAACCTCCTGCCGTCATGCACCTCCCGTCCGTCACTCTCGCGGGACTTTACAAACAACGTAACGGTGTGGTCAGCGTACCTTTTTTTCCCCAACTTTATTCAAACTGACCAACAATAAAAGACATCTTGAAAGTCCGTTGACATACAAACAAGAGCAAATGATGAAAGAAGGAAAAAAAACATGAACACAGCAAAAAAATTAAAATAAAAAAAATAAACAAACACAAGGCAGTTACTCAAATAAATAAACGTAGTCGACACATCGACAGTTTTAACAGCTTTTTTGTTATTTATACAGGAGATGGTTTTTTGGTCTTTAGCACCAAAAAAAGTGTTTTTTTTATTCGTGAATTTGCATTTGTGGACATGAAATTTAGCAACAAGTAGGATTAGATCCACCAGAAAGAAAGCATCATCCTTCTTCCCATCGTCACTAAAATAACCAAAAATGATATTTTTGTGGTTCAGGGGGGAAAAAATCAGAGAAAATATTATCAACTATGAATGAGTTCATGTCTTTCCAGAGTTTATATGTGAATTCACAAGACCAGAACAAATGTGAAAGAGTTTCAGGATGCAAACCACAATAAGAGGAAAGTTTCTGTTTATGTGGTTGGTTGTGATTTTCTGCTTCCTGGACGCCACCAACTCTGGACAGGGGGGGAGGTGGAGGATGTCACGCAGTTAAGTTTTTCTTAACGATTCAAAAATAAAAAATAAAGCGAAAAGAAACTGAAAATAACAAAGAGACTCAAGATTAAACACTAAACACATTTTCTACCGTATTTTAGAAAGTGTAGCTCGGTAGTACAGGACTTGGGAGGACGACGACCACCCCTACACAGCGCGTGGTTTCGTCCTGATTGTTTGTCGCGGTCCTGTTCTTGTGTCCTTCCTGATCTGACAGACTTTCATTCACTGCGCAGCTTCTCACCTGAGACGCTGTTATTGCAGCTTTTAAAAATTTATTTTGTCGTTTTCTTCTCTAAATCTACTCATTTGTGGTCCCGCTTAGCACAGTTTACTGCTGTCGTAAAACTTTTTGTTGTTTCGACGGGTTTTTTTTTTCTAATTATTATTATTTTATTTTGACGGATCAACTTTTGGATTCCCCCGCGGTTCGTGTCTTCCTGCGGTGGTTCCGCTCACACAGGACGGACCGTGTGGATTCAGTATCGTCCTCTACAGGTTGGTGTTTGGTTTTTAATTCCTGTTTTTGTGTGTGTTGGTTTGGTTGCAGCCTGAAGGTGACCATATATCACCAAAAACCACGAGATGCTGAAAGATGCCTCATAATTTAAATAAATGTAAAATATGCCTCCTGTGTTTGCTTAGAAATTAGTTTTATCACCAAAGACGCTCATTCAGAGGCTTCCTGTGTTGTTTAGTTTTTCCCGGATCCCGGTTTAACTTCTCTCACCTGTTTTATTGTTTTATGTTTTTATGTGTCCGTGTGACCTTTAAGCTCTGTGGAGTGCCAGGTGTGAACACTTATGCAAATCACCAGTAAATGGACTTTGTATGGTGGTAAATGACCTGCATAGACACATACCGGAAGTACCACCGGCCTCTCGGGGCAGACACAGGTGAGCGAGACAGTTGAGGAAAAACCATTTAATCACGGTGACTGAAAAGCTAAAAACTCCCAAACGTTTGGGGAAACAAAATGTCCGCCGTCTCTTGAGATGACCAACTATTTTCCCTCCACTAGCCTGACCTGTCTCGCTCACCTTTTGTCTGCCTCTCAGGTGAGCAGCTCGCTGCTGCCCCTAGAGGCCTGTGGCACTACTGTTTTTTTTTTTAGTTGTGAACCTCCACAGAAACAACAGCCCCACTTGCAATGTGATTTTCTTTCAGTTATTTTGGCTTGTTCATTTTATTATTTTAAATATACTGAAGTAGTGGCTCTACATACGGTGTATACGTTACTACTTAGGTTTTTACTTTGGTTCGCACTCTGGACGCCTCTTTGTGTGAACTGAGCCTGAAGTTTGGCTGAAGGTCTTGTGATTGTTGGTCACAGATGAGCCAGTAATGCAGAAACTGGTTCCTAAAGCCAATGTACAGTATTTTAAATGAAATATCGTAGCGTATTTTTGGTTGAGTTTTCCTTTAAACTTGGCACATCACCAATGAGTGCTTCATGGTCCATGAGAAAGTTGAAAATCTGACTGTTCTTTCTGTTTTTGCAGTTTCTGGTAAATTGTGTACTTTTTAGGCGTGGGGGTTAAACTGGATACTTACTCAATGTATTCTTTTACAAATTGAATCTCAGTTTCGGCGTCGTCTCAGAGGCCTGGGCGTTTCCTGATGTGGTGACAATAGTCGGGCCACACAGTTGTAATGCAAATTCACGCTAAACGATGTGACACGCCCCACTGAAGCCACGCCACGGCGTCTGAGCGCCTACGATGCTCTCTAGGTATTGTAGTAAAAGGAATGCATGTAAATCAAAGGAGCCTCGTGCAAAAAGCAGAATGCCTGTGATCTGTGAAATATCAGTTTTTTAAAATAAAACTTAAAATTCAGGTATGATTTTCAAACTCTCCTACAAGACGTCCATGTGCTACGAACAGAAATAACCTGTTGATTACAGGAAATGCATGTCGAAGTTCGTTAACGGTGAATCATCAAAGACATTTTAATTCTTCTGGTAGTTCCTTTCATGTGACCACATGAGGGAGTTTGAACGTATTCCACCGTAACTGAAACGTTTTCTATTATTTGACTTTGCAGTTTTATGTTGGCCATAAATGTAGCTTGTGTGTTTTCTTTCACGCTGCTATGTTGTCGTTCAGAATAAGTTTTCGTCTCCGTAAAGTCCAACGATGTATAAAAAGCGCATTGGGGTAAACTGTTCACCTCTCACATGTTGTTGTAGGAGGCAGAATTTGGAACGTTCCCGAAAAAAATTCACAAAGGAATGGCCATTTATTAAACCTCCAAGCATTTTGTGGATGTTTACGTTGTTCTACATTCATACTGTCGACTTTTAATTAGGGCCTGAGCACTGAAAATGCGTAGGACTGTGTTGGAATGTGAGGAATTATTCGGGCTCTGAATAAAAGACATCATTGTTCTCCAGGATGGGAACTGTGAAGTTGTGTCTCAAGATGGCTGCACAGCACCCCCTACAATATTTGCAACAGCTACTACGGGCAAACACCTACATCTACAAAATTTGGTCGGCATGTGTAGCACATCAGGGCGCACAAAAAAGTCAGTGGGCGCGATACCCTACACCCAACAGGAAGTCCACCGTTTTGATTTGTTTGTGAGATTTTTTGTTAGTTTTCATCATTTTCCAGAGCTGTCTCCTCATAACTCCATGACATCTAAAATTTGGCCTGTGCATACAAAAGATCCTGATGATGAAACGACTCGCATAACGAGGGGGAGGAGCAACAAACCCCCAGTTGAACCCAGAACTCAGGTGTTAATGGCTAGTCAGTCAGAACTGATGAAGCCTCTTGGTCTTCAAGGAACTCAAGCAGGTCCAGTTGCTATGATTAAACTATGAGATTAATGGTGAAGTTTAAGGTGTGGTAGTGGTGGTGCCTGAAGTTTGATGATTCGCCATTAAAAAGGAAGTAACGACCCTGTACATGCTCCAGTCTGCCTCAAACTTCACAGATCACTTGATCACAGTCCTACCCTGATGAAACCCATGTTCCAATATCCATTCACAGTCACAGCGCCACCTGCTGGGAAAGGACACGTTTCACATTTTTGTTTGCTATTATTAGCTTGTTGACCATGTTGACTTCAAATGTGGTTAGAGTTACGGTTCGGTGGTTCTCATTTTGCCCAGAGCGCATTTCTTTCACAACACTGGTATACGCCTCGATGTGCGCCACATCCGACACTCGTGGAAGTGCGAGGTCCCGTTCAACGCTGCTTGTAGCTTTGATTAATTTTGTTCTATTTTGCAATTTTATTTTGTTAAAATTAGTTTTGTTGGAGCTATTTTTTAACGTTGAACCTGTTGTTTTGTTCACACAGGTGTCGGCCAGACCTGAAGACAGTCGCAAACATAAACTCACAGTTGCTGCTGCTGCGAGGTGAAATGGACCAGGAAGGAGTGAAGCTGGACCGAGACATCTTCTCTTGTTCCGTCTGTCTGGATCTACTGAAGCATCCAGTGACTACTTCCTGTGGACACAGCTACTGCATGAGCTGTATTAAAACACACTGGGATGGAGAGGACAGCAAGGCAATCTACAGCTGCCCTCAGTGCAGGAAGACTTTCACACCGAGGCCTGTCCTGGAGAAAAACATCATGTTGGCAGAATTGGTGGCAGAGCTGAAGAGGACTGAACTCCAAGCTGCTGCTGCTGCTAATCCTTGCTATGCTGGACCTGAAGATGTGTCCTGTGATGTCTGCACTGGGAGGAAGAGGAAATCCATCAAGTCCTGTTTAGGTTGTGTGGCCTCTTATTGTGAACAACACCTCCAACCTCACTTTGATGCACCTCCATTAAAGAAACACAAGCTGGTGGAGCCCTCCAAGAAGCTGCAGGAGAACATCTGCTCTCGTCATGATGAGGTGATGAAGATTTTCTGTCGCACTGATCAGCAGCTGATCTGTTATCTCTGCACAATGGATCAACATAAAGGACATAAAACCGTCCCAGCAGCAGCAGAAAGGACGNTTTTCGTAAATGTGTGTCTCATTTGTGTCCTTTTTTTGGTCATTTTGTGTCTCATTTTTGTCGTTTTATTTTGTTTTTCCGCCATTTTGTGTCTCTGTTTGTCTAGTGTATGTCGTTTTGCGTCTCATTGGGTCATTTTGCATCTCATTTTGTGTCGTTTTGGCTCATCATCTGTAGAAAAATGTTCCACCATCAGCTGGATGCATCTCCACCAGCTGTCTCCTCTGTCCACTGCTGCATTTATTGTATTGATCCAGGAGGTTTTATTTTCTTCTCGTCTCTGCTCTGTGGAAACACGTTCTGAAAACTCTTTGGATTTTTGTCTTGTGACTGTTGGTCACTGCTGAGTCAGTTGTGTCGAGCAGCTCGTGGGTTTCTTGTTTTGTTTCATTTTGTAGAATCTGGTGCAGATGGTTTGTATTTCAGCTACTTTTTTATTTTAATTGAGACATCCAGAATGAAGGGAATTCGGCGAAACATCCGATGTGGTTGTTGTTCCTGATGGAACCAAGCGACCATCAGAAAGTTTAAAGTCTGACTAATCAGGCAGGTTCTGGGAATCAGAGCAGCTGTTATAGTTTCATTTTTATTTTATCTGTACAATGTGACACCTTGGGTTCAGCTCATAGTTTGACTCATAAAAGTGACGCTCAGTTTCCATCACAGTCCGTCTTTTATTAAACCAACAATCCAAACCTCAGAATTATTATTAAATTAAAATATTTCAAAGGACAAGAGGCGAGAAAGCAGAAATCATTTCATTTTGCAGGAAGGTTTGAACCTTTTGAACCCGTCACTTCACATGCTGTCGGCTGGTTAAACTCTGCTCTGCAGCGCCCCCTGCTGTTGCACTGACTCGACTCTTTGTTTTTTCCTCCAGATCACTCCTTCCACTCGGTCTTCTGCTGCTGCTGCTGCGCCGTTCAGACCAGGTACAGAAATTAATATCAAAACATCACCAAAGCAGAATTTATGTCATCGATTTTAAAGATGCAGCTCAAAAGAATCAGTCTGGTGTTATTTTTTTTGTATTTTGCTTGTATTTTGTGCTCCCTGTCCGTTTTTAAAAGTAAGTGAGTCTCAGCCAAGGAGACATTTTGGATCTTTCACTTCTATTTATCAGCACATCTTCCACCACGTCCAGTAATATCCATTAAAATGTGACCAGGCAGCAGCTGCTAGTCGTAAAGTGACATGTAAAGTCTTTTAAAAAGTGCAAAAACAGCACTTTAAACACTTTTCATGATGTTTTTGTGGAGAACTGCTGTTATTTCACAGATTTTTTATGTCCTATTTGTGTGCAGTGCATCTGGTTTAGGTTGCATTTGTTGTGTCCGCTAGCTTTCCTGACTTCTGTGATGCTATCGAGCTGCAAATGCTAACGAACCTCCAAAGGCCTCCTGGTGGCGCTGGAGGAAAACTCAGACCTTCATCTGAGACTAAAAAACGTATTCATGCATCTGACGTTTCCAAAGCGTACAGCGACAACGACAACAGTCACTGTGGATGGTTGATTTTTTGGGAAGAGTCGTAGTTCGTATGACGTTTAAACAAAACAAGAACAGTTTGGTGTTTTGACAGAAAGTCTGACTGATTGATTTCAGGGAGTTCAGCACCCGGGTGGATCTGGAAGGCGGCTCTTCTTCGCTCTGTTTCCGAGGCCGACGGCGTCCCGGACACGCCTGCCGGGTAGGACGAGTGTTCCAGCGTGTCCTCGTGTTGTTTGTTCCTGCATGTTGACCCTCCACATGGTTTCCTGTCACATCTTTGTCTACGGGAACCAGAAGCAGAGAGAACGTATAATGTTCTTTCAAGTGTCCACAGCGGCTCTACGTGTTCATTCACTGATTTACTACCTACATGTGTCATTTATTTCCATCCTTGTGTCCTCCCTGCTCTGCGTGAACACTGCCTGCAGTTCAGCTTAAAATTTTGGGTCATTTTCTGTCTGTTTTTTTTTTTTGTTTTCAGTCTCATTTTGAGTCTCGTTTGCCGTTTTGTGTCATTTTGTCTTGGTTTTCGTGAATTTGTGTCTATTTGCGTCTCATTTGCATCATTTTTTTTAAACATTTTGTGTCTCATTTTTGTTGTTTTGTCTTGTTTTTTTGCCATTCTGTGTCTGTTTTGGGTCGTTTTGTGTCTCATTTGAGTCTCGTTTGTCATTTTGTGTCATTTTGTCTTGCTTTTCGTTGTTTTGTGTCTCGTTTTTGTCGCTTTGTCTTGTCTTTTGCCATTTTGTGTCTTTTTTTGTCTCGTTTATGTCATTTTGTGTCTAATTCGGGTCGTTTGTGTCTTGTTTTTTTTGTCGTTTTGTGTCTTGTTTGCTGTTTTGTGCCGTTTTGTTTTGCTTTTCGTTGTTTTGTGTCTCATTTGTGTCACTTTTTTGGTCATTTGTGTCTCATTTCTGTCGTTTCGTCTTGTTTTTCTGTCATTTTGTGTCTCTTTCTTTGTCTAGTATGTGTCGTTTTGTGTGTAGTTAGGGTCGTTTTGTGTCTGTTGTGTTAATTTACTGATTTACAAACCTAATTTGTTTCCATACTTGTGTCCTCTCTGCTCTGCATGAACACTGCCTGCAGTTCAGCTTAAAACTCTCTGAATTTTCGCTGCATGACTGTTGGTGGCAGCCAAGTCACTCTGAGCTTCATGGTTGCGTCGAGGAGCGCAGAATTTTTTGTTTTTTACAGAATATGGTTGCTGCAAACGGTTGATTTGTGGCATTTTTTTTTTTACGAAGACATTTAGTGTTTTTGGTGATGAGTTCATGCACCGTCGGAAAGCAGACAATCTGATGATTCTTTGTGTTTTTACAGTTTCTGAGTGGTGCAACTTTGTTTCCTTTTTTTTAAAAAAACAAATAGCGTTCAGCAGGTTCTTGGGGTTGAGTTTTTTTTCCCCGTGCGTCTCAGGTGGACAGGTCGAGGAGGAAGCTGCCGCGGCCGCCTCCCGAGGGCGAAGACAGCGAAGGCGAGGGGCTGCTGAGCGTCGTCGCCATGTACGACTTCACCGCCAAGGAGGACACCGACCTCACACTGCGACAGGTACACACACACACACACACACACACACGGCAGAGTTGTGTTGCTTCGTCGGGGCTTTGACGTGTTGCGTTTGCAGGGCGAGGAGTACGTCATCCTCCACAAGCAGGACCAGCTGTGGTGGCGAGCGCAGGACAAACACGGGTAGGTCGCTTCAAAGTTCACAGGAAGTTCAGTGTTTTTACGTTTTTCTGTTCTCTCAGACTCAGTTTGTGTGATTTAAAGTGTTCTGTCTCAGAGCAGAGCAGCATGTTCACACTTAAAGCAGTTAAAGTCTAAACATTATTGAGGGAAACTGGATTTGACTCAACGTCCTAAAGTGTCCGATTGTCTTCAGGAACAAAGGCTTCATCCCCAGCAACTACGTGACGGAGAAAAACCGGATCGAGGCCAACTCGTGAGTGTTTTTTCCTAATTTTTCACCTTAGCAGCATCAGAATTGTGAAATCTAGTCATGTCTAAGTGCTCTTTGTGTGGTTCTATGTGGAGGTGGTACTGCAAGAACATCACCAGGACAGAAGCTGAGCAGCTGCTGAGACAAGAGGTGAGAACAGAAACGGGTTCGTTCATCTCAGACCTTCAGGTTCCTTCTGCTCCACCGGCTCTGATTTGTCTGGAACTTTTTAATCATATATTAGTGATGTTTAAAAAAGGTACAGCTAAATAGAACAAGTGCTTCCACACATAATGTTCTTTAAACTCACCTTCAGCAGGGTTTTTGTCTCACAGTGAATTTTGAGGTTGTTTCGATGGATGATTTTTAGATTGGAAGACTTCAAAATGGATTTTAAAACTCGCCCTTAAACCCAGTTCCAGTAGATTTGTTTTTCTGTTAAAAATCGAGGCTGTTTGAACGACAACATCTCAGGAACTATTAAACCTAAAATGTTCACTTTTATTTCTCATCATGTCGTTGATTCAGACTCTACGGTACCGGATTACTGACGTAGATTAGAACCATTTTCAAACCACCTGCTCAATCAGTTGTAAAAGCTCAACTAAAACAACTTTCTTTCCATTTTTGTGACCAAGAATGTCATTTTTAAAGTATTCCACATGTTTAGTTTGGTGTTATTGTGACCTGTGCTTCAGAAAACATCACCAGCTGACTTCTGCTTCATCAACTTGTTTGTTGGAACTTTTCATTAAGACTCGCCCACAATCAGAGATTATCTGATCTACTTCTCTGATGTTTTAGATTCTGAATCAACGACATGACGAGAAATAACTGGAAAATTCTGTTTTTTATCTTTAATAGTTTCTGAGATGTTGTCGATCAAACGGCCTCGAATTTCGACGCACAAAAAATCAAATCTACTGAAAGCGGGTCGAGTGGGACGGTGTTTGAATTCACCTAAAAATTCACAAACATCTGTGTAACTATCCATAATTTATGCTTTAGAAATTAAGTCAGAGATGGTTCCAGTAGAAGTTGTTCTGAAGATGTAAAGATCTAAAAACTGTTGACTTTAAGTGAAGCTGAAATCATCAACGGACTGTTTTGATGTTTGTCTGCTGCAGCTTCTTAAATGCTTTTCTTCGTCGTATCTGACAGTAAACTGAGTATTTGTTTCATATTTATCGTTCACACTAACACTCTCCTTGTATTATTGTCGTAAAGCGTTTCGTCTGTTTCCGTCTGCCCTGATTCATTCCTTCCTCCTGCATCTAGCTCATGTTTCTTGTTGTTTTCCAGGACAGAGAGGGCGGCTTCGTGGTGCGAGAGTCCAGTCAGAAGGGCGTCTACACCGTCTCCGTCTACACCAAAACCTTGAGGTGATTCCCGCCGATAAAGACCGTAAACATTCCCGCCACATGACGTTTTTAAATCTTCTCCAGAGTGCTGATTGGCTGAAGTTGAACCCAGTTGGAGCCGAACTTTGGAGATAAAACCGACATAAAAGCTTCACATAACTAAACCTCATGTGAAGTAAATAATCCAGATCTATGTGTGTTTGGCGTCCAGCGCTACCGGAGACATCAGACATTACCAGATCAAGATCACCGACACCGGACAGTTCTTCTTGGCCGAGAAATACACCTTCAGCTCCATCCCCGACGTCATCCGCTACCACGAGCACAACGCAGCAGGTAAACAAACAAACAAACAAAC